CCCCCAGCGTAGTAGCATTCTCACCTTGCTTGGGGGTGAAATGATAAAAAACCACCTCGCTACCTCGATTTGCTTTACAAATTAACTACCCCAGTAGTTTATTTTAACCACATGGGAGGGGGCAGTTTTGCCCATCGTCACGCTGCTCCCAGGTCTTTTGAGTTTTATCCATTGTTTCTTCTTTAGGCATGGGCTTCCGGTTCCTTCTAAAGTCTTTTCTCTTTTACATCCCGTGGCCTCTTGCGTTTTGGTAGCATTATTACCTTGCTTGGAGGTGGGGCTGTTATTGTGTAACCCTCATTTTATATATATATATATATATATATATATATATATATATATATCTTACCGTATATACTCATGTAGTGACGTCATATACATATATATATATATATATATATATATATATATATATATATATATATATATATATATAAAAGACATTTATAAGATTTAACTGATATCAACTCTAGCTTATTATTTGATATTATTTGATATGTGAAGAGAAGAGAGGAGAATTTCTGTTTCTTCAACTTGTTTTTACAACCATAGAAAATTGATACAGGGTGCGATGGATAAATTGTCGCAAAAATTTAAATTATACCAACATTTCATTTTTTAACAGATCTACCAACATTCGACAAAAATATCTTGAAATACTAAAGAGTAAAAATTATTCAATATAATCGTCAGTAGTTTCAACCTCTGCCTCCAGACGACTTCGGAATCTCCTGCAACTCTTCTGAACGGTCTCCTTGTTTAAGTTGGGGAATGAAGCCATGACCTTTGCCTTTAGTTCATCTTTGGTCTCTTGCTCAACTGCGCCCCACCCATAATAATCAAGGGGGGTTCCAGTCTGAGGACTTAAGTGGCCAGATATAAGAGTGATGTGGTCTCAGAAATTGTCTGAGAGCCATGACTGGGTTCCCCTGATTGTCTGGCTTGGTGCAGAGTCCTGTTGCCAGACACAGGTTTTTCCAGTAAGCAGCCTCTTGACCTAGGGAAGCATTACCTCCTCAAGGCATTTAATGTAGGCCTCCATGTTGAGTGTGAGGCCCTCACCAACAAAATCGGTAGTACTCATCAGAATGATCAGAGTTTGTTTTCAGAGCTGCCAAACCTTCGTAATCACAATTAGACTCATCCAACTCTTTCCATATCCTCTGCACTGTCCTTAGAATGATACGCAAAACACTTTAAAATGTTCGTATTGGGTCTTCAGGCGGAAATGGCAAGAAGTACAGCATGCGCTTCCTAAATTTTTGTCGGAGTAAATTGCGTCATGGTGTTCTTTTTCTCACAGACAGTGCTCAACTTACCCTAATATACTGTGCAGTCCATAAAATTAAAAAGATCAACGCGCATGCGCGAAATTAAAAATATAAAATGTCGACAGTTTACCCATCGCACCCTTCAAATACTTCGATTAAAACCTAATAGACAGACACATTTCGAATGTCAAAATTAATAATTTTGACATGAAGACAGTTATGACAGTAAGAATAAACATTTCAAAATATATTAATTACTAGCAGAGAAAATATAGCGTTTCCTACATTAATTTCTCACGCAGAAAGCAAGGCAATTAAGCCACTTACTGAGTGTGAAAGAATAAGAAAAAGAAAACATTTTTAAGGAGTGGGAACATAAAATAATAAAATACCGATTGAATTTAAATTTTTGAGGATCAAAGTTCGCTGCAAAGCAAGTAGGTGGAAGTGATTTCCACAAGCGAGAAGTGCGATTGAAGAAACCGTTACAATACAATATGGGAACCAGTAATAAGGAGTGCCAGAGAAAAGCATGCATGATAACAGCAAAATTGCAATATCAGAACTGGTAAAAATGGTTGCTGAAGACATTAGGCTTATAAGTCCAAGAAATTCATACCCAGATCCAGTGATAGGACCCAAAGAGTGTGAGTTCAATACCCAGTTAAGGCAGTGGAGAACTTTCAGAGGGAAATTAACTGGAGATAATTGATAACTGACATCCATTAAACATGGCACGTGGAACTAGAACAGTCTACCCCAGTGAGCGAAATAAAGGTTTCAGTTCGACATACCAACCATCTGAAGAAAGCCGGAGCGTACAACGGCCGAAACGTTGTGATAAATATAGCAACAAAGATGAGGACAATATTCCGAATAATGTAAATAATGTATATAATACCTCATCTCAGAAATATAGACAGATACTGAAGGACCGAAACGTTGTAATAAATATGGCGACAAGGATGAGGAAAGTAGTCCGAATAATGTAAATAGTGTACATAATACCTTATCTCAGAAATATAGATAGACGTTGTGATAAATATGGCGATAAATAGTCCGAATAATGTAAATAATGTAAGAAAACGTTAGCAAAGTATTTGCTTTTACATCTCGCCATTTCAACTGTAAAATGATGAGACCTTACTCCCAATTTAGTACTTCGTTTAAATTCCGAAATATTACGCATCATCGCGTGAAGTGATATTTATTCTGTAAAATACACAGAAATGTGGCTGTGACGAATGCAGATAGCCCAAATATGCATGCACGCATATATTAAGGTTAATCTCCGCTTGACAACAGAAGAGGTCACATGGGAGTTTCGAGACATTTTGGGAAAGCAAGTCAAGAGGTTGACTGACCCAATTACCCGTAGCAACAGACGCCTAGACAGAATCTAGACAGCGGACTGAGGCAAGGTCATGAAGTAGCAGGAACTGGAATTCGCGCCAAAACGCAGGACACGTGGGAATTAGAAAATTACTTGGAAGTCAGTTGCTGTCTTGTCTTTGAAGGAGCAAGACTCAAAATCGAAGCGCTGATAACTTATGAACGGAAAGATGAGACTCATTTTGGTAATGATGGAACTTGTCCGATTCATCCCAAGCAACTCCGGATAAGAAATATAAGGATATGTATTTCTGTTCGTTAACTCCAAATTGAAGAAGATAAATCGAGTTATTTATCACAGAAGACGCAAGGAAATTTCTACACCGAGAATACAGCCTGCGTTTGAAGAAAGAAAAGAGAAAACCAGAGAGAAGAAAGTATATATCTCTGTTGCAATCTGAATTGTGTGAAGAAGAAAAAAGAAAGAAAAGAGAAAACCAGAGAGAGGAAGAAAGTGTATATCTCTGTTACAGCCGGACCGTAAAGAAAAAGAAAGAAAGAAAAGAGGAAACGTGAGAGAGAAAAGAAAGGACAATGAGTAAGAGAGAGAACTGAATATAAAGATAAGTTAGAAAGATACACATGCATCCATAAACTTTATGTTCTCACATACACCTTTCCACATGTCAAAATAGAAATATGTAAATCCTATCCCCATCTCTTTTGGTTATGCGTTGATTTCTGCATTCGTAGTTATTCATACTTATTTTTTTATCCGTTCTGGTTCAGTTGAATCCATTTGGATTTGGGCATATTTTGGTATCCCAACATAAGTCTTGAGATCCTGCTCGTCAGATGCTTTACTCATGCTTATATTTTTCTTTTATTTTAATATCTTGTGTATATGTTCATATTAAAATTCTTATACCAAAATTTATCACGCCTTATCGTTCATCCTTGAATTGTGGATCAGTATTTGTGTTGAAACCGAAGCGAACCTGGGAAAAGATTACTGTTTGATTATTCTAATCGAACAGTGTTCTTTAAAATATTTTTGTTTACTAATTGTCCATTTGTCATGGTCTGGGAGAGATAGCCCGTATCTCTCCATAGACGTGATAATGTATATATCTCCTGGTCGGCGTATGATTGCGTTATAATTGCGTCGACTAGGGCATCTGGCCGAAAGTGAGGACTGGAGTATAGACGGTCTTCTTCTGTCTTAGCTATAACTTAGCTAGCCACAAACACTGACCCAATCGTACAAACAATATTCCTTACACCAAAACAACACATTCATACGTACCTTCCTTACTAAAACCACCGTAATATCTCATTGTCTCTATGAAAATACTAACTAGTCCCCATATTTACAATTCAATGTCTGTGGCGGGAGGGGAATAAAACAACAATTCTAAAACTAGCCACATGAGTATTTACAAATATTAATACGAAACTATTTACAAGAAACTAATATTAGTAATAAACCCCCCAATCACTAAATGTGGCAGAAATATCAGTTGACTGACCGAAATCAATGCGGGACTATAATAGTATAAAACATTCATTCATCCCAAACACTCACACTGACATGCACACATTCAGACACAACAACAAATACGAAAAATCTCAACCATCGCGTGAAGTTCATCAGAATAATTTCTATGAAAGTATTTCTAGAAAAGAGTCGTAGTGGAGTAATGGATAGTAGATCAAAGAACCGAGTTCGAATTCCAGTCGAATGTATTACATTCACTTATGCGCTAATACCTTCTCCAGAGATGTAAGACCCCCGCCCCGCGCTTAATGGGGTGTACACGGTAAGACTATAAACTACGTCCAACAGCAAGGCCTCTGATGCTTTGAGGAGCTCTTAATTGCTGGTGTTTTCAGGTTCACCCTGACCCGGGGTGGTAGCACGTGTTAGGGTCCCATCTATGGGGAAATAGTTAACCCCGAAACTGATGTAAAAAGCATTATAAAAGTGTGAAAATACGTTTTAATACAAGAAATACTTTGAAAAAAATTATTACCAAAAATTAATTTTTGAAAAAAATACGTTTTGAAAAAAAAAAAAAAATTACCAGCAATACATGTGATTGTACTAAAAAATATGAGTAATTGAAAAATGATTCAAATATATATGTATACATATACACCTTTTTTACCAAACTATCGCTATGTATCTATTTCAAAAACAATTATTGGCATTAAATGACCCACTGAGGTTTTGATATGCCATAAAACAAAACAACCAACAAAACAACCAACCATTTAATCAAATTCCTCTGGCTCTCTTGCATTCAATATACCCTGCGGGTATTATATTCTCCAAGCCCTCTTTTTTCATTAAGTGTCCAAGAAAATTTAAATGTCTCTTTCGTATTTTAAACAAAAAGATGTTTCGGCCCTTCAGTATCTGTCTATATTTCTGAGATGAGGTATTATGTACATTATTTGCATTATTCACACTATTGTCCTCATCTGTGTTGCCATATTTATCAAACGTTTCGGCCCTTCAGTATCCGTCTATATTTCTGAGATGAGGTATTATGTACACTATTTACATTATTCGGACTATTGTCCTCATCTTTGTTGCCATATTTATTACAATGTTTCGGCCTTTCAGTATCTATCTATATTTCTGAGATGAGGTATTATGTACAATATTTACATTATGCACAATATAGTCCTCATCTTTGTTGTCATATTTATTACAACGTTTCGGCCTTTCACTATATGTCTATATTTCTGAGATGAGGTAGTATGTACATTATTTACATCATCCGGAATATTGTCCTCATCTTTGTCGCCATATTTATTACAAGGTTTCGGCCTTTCAGTATCTGTCTATATTTCTGAGATGATGTATTATGTACACTATTTACATTATTCAGACTATTGTCCTCATCTCTGTCGCCGTATTTATTACAACATTTCGGCCTTTCAGTATCTGTCTATATTTCTGAGATGAGGTATTATGTACACTATTTACATTGTTCACACTATTGTCCTCATCTTTGTTGCCATATTTATTACAACGTTTCGGTCCTTCAGTATCTGTCTATATTTCTGAGATGAGGTATTATGTACACTATTTACATTGTTCACACTATTGTCCTCATCTTTGTTGCCATATTTATTAAAACGTTTCGGTCCTTCAGTATCTGTTTATATTTCTGCGATGAGGTATTATGTACACTATTTACATCATCCGGAATATTGTCCTCATCTTTGTTGCCATATTTATTACAATGTTTCGGCCTTTCAGTATCTGTCTATATTTCTGAGATGAGGTATTATGTACACTATTTACATTATTCGGACTATTGTTCTCATCTTTGTTGCTATATTTATCACAACGTTTCGGCCTTTCAGTATCTGTCTATATTTCTGTGATGAGGTATTATGTACACTATTTACATTATTCGGACTATTGTCCTCTTGTTTGTTGCCATATTTATTACAACGTTTCGGCCCTTCAGTATCTGTTTATATTTCTGCGATGAGGTATTATGTACACTACTTACATTATTCACACTATTGTCCTCATCTTTGTCGCCATATTTATTACAAGGTTTCGGCCCTTCAGTATCTGTCTATATTTTTGAGATGAGGTATTATGTACACTATTTACATCATCCTGAATACTGTACTCATCTTTCTTGGAATATTTTTTACAACGTTTCGGCTTTTCAGTATCTGTCTATATTTCTGAGATGAGGTATTATGTACACTATTTACATTGTTCGGACTAACGTCCTTGTCTTTTTCCCATATTTATCACAGCGTTTCGGCCGTTGTACGCTCCAGCCTTCTTCAAGTTGTTGAATGTCGAACTCAACTCTTTATTTCATTCACTGGGGTAGATTGCTATAGTTCCACGTGCCATGTCTTATGGATGTCAGTTATCAGTTACCTCCTGTTAATTCCCCTCTCCAATTTCTCCATTGCCTCAACCAGGTATTGAACTCACACTATTTGGGTCCTGTCACTGGATCTAACTAGCGCTTTTATCTTTGAGGAGATCTGTGTATGAATTTCTGGGACTTATAAACGTAATGTCGTCAACCATTATTTTTTTTTACCAGTTGTCATGTAGCAATTTTTGTTGTTACTATTGCTTTTCTCTGGCGAAATAAAGTGTTATGTTCAACATACCAACCACCTGAAGAAGGTAACTCTTCGTATTTTAGTTAAAATCAAAATGAACGACAACGAATTTCGGAGAATTTTAGATGAAACCAAAACTGAAATGAATATCAACAAACATTTTGGTGTAAATCTTCTCTTCTTGGAATCTTCACGGTGCTTTTGAAATGGTTTATCTCTTTTGATGCTCCAGTAGAAATCAGCCATCATGTTAACATCCCATTTCCAAAGTGCCTAGTTGGCTATGCCTATCTGGTGTTTGGTGGTTATCTTATGTGCTGATAAAGAAAATTCTAATCTTGCTAATCTCAAATACAATCGCCTAACACCCGAACAACCCTCATTTATTGATGTCCTTATACAGAGACTGTATAACAATACCAGACCTCAGTAAATTCAAATGATATGATAAAATCTTATGACGGTTTCAGGCTTAAAGTGAAAACTACTAATAAAAAATAAAATCGCTGTTCTTGAATGATTTCTAAAGAGATTCTTCCTTACTTTTCATAGAAGAATCTCTGAAGAGATTCTTCTATGAAAAGTAGAGAAGAAACACAAATCACAAAATTTTAACAAGCTAAGAATATTGAGGGCACAAGAACATTTCCGAGTGAGATATCTCTCATAAAATCAAGTCAGCTTATTTGAACTGAAAAAGCTTAGAATTCATTTTGAAAGTTATTTGGATAAATTTGCTTGAATAATAAATCATTTTAACATGAAACGAAATGTTTCAACTATGTCACTCGCATATTAAAGCAGTGGCATATCCCTGTGAATTAGGTATTTTGGCCTCTTTCAAGCAAAATAGAAATTATCTGTGCTGAGAACACACGATGTGATGGGGCAAAAATGGACTTTATTTTCAGATTGAGCGTGAAAATGTAACCCAGAAACATATGCCCAATGCCCAACAATATCTGGGTCCCAAAAACAAAAAAAAATGTCAGCCGGTGTAATTAGTGTCCAGGTGTTAATTTGGTGGACCGGACAAAAATCCTTCGCGGACCGGATGTGGTCCAGGGGCCTGGGGTTGCCGACTCCTGTTTTTGACTTTGATGATGTTGTTTTACGCTTAAACTGCCTTATAACAAATTTTGAATCAGTTTTTTTTTCTTTCATTTTTATTTAGGTTTAATCGTTCATTCTTTGGAAATCATCATTGTTATTTTGAAAAGCTTCCAAAGGAATTGAGTAAAAATGTTTGTGTACTAGCGAAATAAGTCCTTTTTAAATCTACTGTGAAATTTGGCGATATTTACTTAACTGTGTTGTTATGTGTTTCAGAAGGCCTGTTGTTTAGCACTGCATGGACATTCAGAAAAAAGTCATGGGCCCCGAAAAGACCTGCTCGATGCAACTTGATATCAAATAAATGCAAAACCAATTAATAATATCCAATAATCGGTGAATAAATGACAAATAATATTTTTAAAAATAAAACGAAAGAAAAACTGCTTAAAATTCTTGTGTATAATACGAGAAATGATAGATTTGTTTTTACGGATTATCAAACCTTACTTATTCACAGCCATCAAATAGTTTTACATTGTAAGGATTTTTGGTAGGCAATAATGATTTACTGATACATGTCTTACTAATTAACCTAATTAAACTTTCGCAAGAATATTTGTGCGTATTTATTATAACGAACCCAACTGGAATTGGAACTTTCCATTATTTATTATATATCCGACGTATCCAAGTTTACAGCACCTGATATTCCCAAGCGGTTACCCATCTAAGTAGGCTTGACGTTGCTTAACTTTGGTGATCTTACGAGAACCGGTTTTTCAACGTGATATAGTCGTAAATCGTATAATTATACGAGAAATTTTTAACGAAAATCAAAGGCAAAATGGTGTTCGTATTATACACAAGAACATGTTTTCAGAAATCTTTACTTCCCATAAAAAATCTTATTTGTAACATCAAGATTTCAACTATATTTAATTAGTACAATAGATAATAAAACACAACTTATGTGGTCCAGGGTAAGACGTTAAACTACATCCGCGTCTTGGGTAAGACTTTAAACTATGTCCAACAGCAAGGCCTCTGATCAGGAGGTTTTGAGGAGTATGGAAGCACCTCTTAATTGCTGGTGGTCCCAGGTCCACCCTGACCCGGGGTGTTATCACCTGTTAGGGTCCCATTTATGGGCAAATAGCTAACTATTATCAGCAATGCTTTTTTGAAAAAAATTATTACCAGCAATGCAATTTTGAAGGAAATATATTACCAGAAACAGACTTTGACAAAACAAAATATTACCAGCAATAAAAAATTTTGTCGGCATTAAATAACCAATTGAGGTTGATATGCCGTTAAACAAAATAAACCAAACCAATCTAAAACAAACAATACATATTCTATTCATAAGAATCTATCCTAAAAAAACTTGTCGGCATTAATTAACCCATCTAGGGTGATATGCCGTTAAACAAAATAAACAAAACCAAACAAATTACATAGATCTTGATACTTATTTAAAAAAGTTATTTGATTTGACTGCCATATTTGTTCTTTGGGAATCAACGTAATTAAACATCTTTTGTCAGTTTTGCTCTAAGTTGAAGTTTGTTTATATTTTGATTTTCTTTTTTCATATAAGGTTTTCTCTTTTTCTTCTTAATAAAAAGACACTATTTGTTTATTTCTATATTTTATTAATATATAAAAATATAATAAAGCCATCTCAAACAAAAAAATATATAATTAAAGAAAAAAAAGTCGGGGGTCGTATTATACACAAATACACATTTTCAGAAATTTTTACCCTGCTTAAAAACCTCTTATTTGAAACAGCAAGATTGCAAATACACACAATTAGCACAATAGATAATCAAATACAAATTAGGCAGATTCTGCTGATTTTTGTACAAAAGATATTTAATATTTTGAATTGGAAATTAGAAGAAGCACACAATGGCTAAACGTCTTTATTTGATTTGCTTTTATTGTTTAGTGTGATTATCATATTTTCTTGAGTATGAAATGAGAAATTATGAACTATAATTAAAGGAAAAACAGGGTCGTATATACACAAGTACACATTTTCAGAAATGTTTACTCTGCTTAAAAAACCTCTTATTTGAAACAGCAAGATTGCAAATACACCGAATTAACACAATAGATACAAACCTCGAGATGAATAGCAGGAACACCAGACCAGATACGGCTGCAGTATTCAATGCACGAACAAATGGTAGATTTGTAAATGTCTAAGATAGAACCTCGAGATGAAGAGCAGGAACACCAGACCAGATATGGCTGCAATATTCAATGAACGTACAAATGGTAGGTTTGTAAATATTCAAGATGGAACCTCGAGATGAATAGCAGAAGCACCAGACCAGATATGTCTGCAGTATTCAATGAACGGACGAATGGTAGATTTGTAAATGTCTAAGATGGAATCTCGAGATGAATAGCAAATTAGGCAGGCGCTGATGAATTTGTTTTTACAAAATATATTTAATGTTGACAATATTTGTTTGTCTCTCATTCTTAATGAAAGACAATATATTTTTTTATTTCCATAGCTTAATTAATATATAGAAATGTAATAAAATTATATCAAACAGAAATGAGAATGGAAATTAGATAAGACACATAATGGCTAAACATCCAGATTTAATTTGGTGAAAAATAAAATATTTTCATGAAATATGTATAACATTGAAATTTTAATGGATAATATAGTACAACTTAAAGAAACATATAGAGGGATAGCTGTACCACGGGGTTGAATTATACTCAAAGATGTAATTTATCCCTTGTTTTTAACTTCAGGAACATAAGGCTGTATTATGCACAGGAAAGTAAGGTGCTTTTCAAATATACCAAAAACACCTGGACATACTAACTTATTATTTACATTATTTCTATTATTCGGACTGTTATCCTCATCTTCATAGTCATATTCACAACATTTCGGCCGATGTACGCTCCGAACTTCTTTAGGTGATTGGATCTCTGAGAGGAGGTATTGTGATTGCTTACATTATTTACATTATTCGAACTGTTATCCTCATCTTCATAGTCATATTCACTGCATTTCAGCCGTTGTACGCTTTGGCTTTCTTCAGGTGATTGGATTTCTGATATGAGTTAATTTATTTTGCTTATTTTATTGTCATTTTGTTTATTTATTTATTTTTTATTTTTATTTTATTTTTTCCGTTTTTGATTTTTAAGTAACGTAGTAAAAAATTGTTTTTATGTCTACATTTTGAGATGAACTCGGATTTTTATTTAATAATTTATTTTGGTCTGGGAAGGTAATGATGGCTATTTTTTCCTCCGAGAAAAGTTTGCAAGTTTTTGATTGGTTGTTGTAGGCTGATGATCTTTTCCTTATTTTCCAAGATATTTTTGGTGTGATGTGCGTTTTGTTTTTAATTTCCCAGATATACTTATAAAGCATTGTGCTGTTCGCATATTTACTATCTGTGAAAGATGTTTTGCGTGCATAATTTCTTTGTTTCCAGGGTCCTTCAGTTACTCCTATGTATACTTTTTCTTCATTATCTGGTGATTTTATCGTGGCTTGGTATATTATGTTGTTTTGTGAACAATTACCGTTTAAGGGACATTCGTTCTTTATTCTGCAGTTGCACGTAAGTTTAATTTGTTTGTGTGTTTTGTTGATAATTTTCCTGTTGTGCGTTTATTATTTGTGCCATGTTCTCGATGCAACTGCAGCTGATTTTTACTGTGTTTTTGTTGAATATTTTGTATAGGGTGCTTGATTCCGGGAAGTGTTTGTGTAAAAGTTTGAATAATATTTTTCCTACGTTTGTTTTTATGTTTTTGCTGTACGGTGGGTTGAACCATATGATATTTCTTTTCCTGTTGACTTTTTTGTGTTCTGTGAGTATTTCTGGGAATCCGCTATCTTTAAGGCTGTTTCGTAGTCTTAGCTTTGTTAAATATGGATTCATTGGAGGAATTGCCGGAAAGCCTGCGGTTAATCGATTTTGGTATCTGATTGATTATAGAAGGCGGGTGGTTGGAAGATGTGTGGATATAGAGTGGTTTATCATTGGGATTTCTGTATGGATTATATGTGCCCTTTCTTAGGTTGAATGAAACATCTAGGAAATCTACTTCGTTTAGGTTAGTTTTTATATCTATGTCGAATTCGTTATTTTTGAAAATCTTTATTATTGCTTTTTTAGTTTTGTATGTGTTTTGTTTGTTACAGTTTCTTAAGATTATGAGACCGTCGTCCCTGTAGAGTCCTGTGTCATTTCTATGAATTATTTTGCTTAGTTCGTGTAGTAAGTAAATATCTATGATTTCGCGCCCCTCTGCACCGTCAAAGATTCCCATTGTAGTGTTAAATATCAAATAATATAATTAACAGGTAACATTACCAGTACCATTACTCTTCCCGAATACCATATGTAGATAAAATAATATCCATCATATTATATGAGGAAAGCAGTGGGTATATTTTAGCCTTGTGGGCGTATATTTTAAACACTGCTATTCTAAATCCGGGTTTATAAGCGGATATAGTTCCCTAATGAATGGCCTGGTTCAAATTACACTGACAACAACGAGCACCGACGATAAATGGGGACCCCTTGCAGATGACATCAATAACTAGTACAACGCAAAGAAGATATTTAACTGTTTCAATTTTAATATATGCTAAAGTATATATATTATATATTACTATATAAAATATATTGTAGAAAAGGTATATTGACCTTGATTCGTATAAAAATACGTATACCCTTGGCACACTGAATGATTTTCAAACCCTAAGTCGGCACATGGTGATCAAAAGATTGCCGACCCCTGATCTAGGTCATGGCTAAAGCGAATTGAATAAAATAATGATAATAATAGGAGTAGATAGATTTGTCAATAGGATTAGATAGATTCGCCTATTATATACATTTCTCAACTTATGTGCTTCTGTTAATGTTTGTCTACCTCAGGTGTCGGCAACCTACGGCACGCGTACCGCACGTGAAACGCCAAGCAATTTCCAGCAAATGACATCACAATGTACGAACCAATAACTACTACAACGCAAAGAAGATATTTAGCAGTTTTCAATTTTAATATATACTAAAGTATATATACTATATATTAATATACAAAATATATTGTAGAACAGGTATACTTGGCATGACTTGTATAAAAATACTCATGTTATTGGCACATTGAATGCTTTAGCAAAACGTTGCCGACCCAGGTCTAACTTATGTTTTGTGTAGTGCTGTATAAAATCTGTCCGGAATGTATCGATACATTAATATCAAGATAAAATGGCCTAAAGAGGATAATGGCACCTTAGCTCTCTTATAAGTTATAGCTTGTTTAACGGCATATCAACATCTTATGGGTCATTATTACCAAAATTTACTTTTCTTGGGACCGTAGAAGTAATAATGTGATATTTCACAACTAAATACAAAAAAATGGGTTGCTGGTAATTCTTTTTCTTTTTGCAAAAGTGTATTGCTGGTAACATTGTTTTTTTTAACCCTGAAAACATATTCCTGGTATTTTTAATATATCCACGAGATACAGTGTTTATAATAATAATATATCATGTAGAGTTATAAATTTTAAAAAATAAATTAATTCCTTAGAAATATCGTTGTGTGTATGTGTGCGCAATGTATGTATGTGTGTGTGCAATGTATGTGTGGATGCGCGCGTGTGTGTTTATATATATTTCTCAACTTATGTTAATGTTTGTCTAACCCAGGGGTCGCAACCTACGGCACGCGTGCCACATGTGGCACGCCAAGCAATTTCCAATTGCATACAGCCGCAAATCACAACATGAAGTCCGAACCAATAACTATAACGCAAAGAAGATATTTAACTGTTTCAATTTTAATATATACTAAAGTATATATACTATATATTACTATATAAAATATATTGTAGAACAGGTATATTGACCTTGACTTGTATAAAAATACGTATAACCTTGGCAAACTGAATGATTTTAAAACCCTAAGTCGCTACATGGTCAGCAAAAGGTTGCAGACCCCTGCCTTACGTTTGTCGCGCGTAATTGAATCTGAACTTGAAGATGTTAAGATTGTAGTAATAAAGGAAATATTGCTTTAGATATCCATCCCACAATGCAACAGTTCCGGACAAGAAGCTTTCTGATTGGAACTACGAAAGAAATATGAAGATAAAGATTATTTTAGAATGTATGATTAATGTCTTTTTTCGAACGAATATTACATAAACAAGTTTTGGGAGATAACAAATATTTTTACAGATAAGACCTACTAATTTAACCCATAGGAGAGGAGATGAATTCATAACTTAAGTCAGGGGTCAGCAAACTACGGCACTTGGGCCACACGTGGCACTCCAAGAAATTTCCAATGGCACGCAATCGCAAATGACATCACGAAGACCGAACCAATAACTACTACAACACAAAGAAGTTATTGTATATTACTATATAAAACATATTGTAGAACAGGTATATTGACCTTGACTTGTATAAAAATACGCGTTTGCTCATCTTTAAATAACACACAAAGTATTGATAAGCTTTTACAAAGCAAATCAATTACCGTTTAAGAAAAAAAAACAACAACAAAAAACAGGCATATGATGAAGGCTTCAGTTATAGGAGTGGTTTCCATGATGGAAAAAAGTATACAAAAGTTTGATTCCTGTTCCTACATCTTCATTTAGTAGGTCTTCTCGATCTAGGCCGGCTGACATTAATTTAATTCAGTCGTTTCCATGTTTTTTCTCTGAGACACATTTTCGGAATGAAAATTTGACCGCGTCTCACCAAATTTTATGCGATAAAAAGTACATTTAAAACCTAAAAAAGAAACAAAAAAAAACCTAAAAAAAAAAACAGAGAGATGGTTAAAGATAGACAACCATTCATTCGAAGTCAAAACATTATCATTGATAACTCTCTCCTCCAATTTTCGGACTCTAGTTACTATATTCTTAATACTTGATATAAAGCAAAAATATCACAATGATAAAATTGGTCAGTAATTATTTATAACTATTTATACTGAGACTAATTGGTTGTAATGGTCAAACAGGTTGGCCGTGTTAACCATTAACTTAGGTTGTGATGTTTGGAAAGGATTTTCTTGTGAAAATTCATTACAAGTGATTTTAGTTAGATCGGTTAATTTTTAACATGTTAAACCTTTTCGGCTTGTTCAATATCAGATTCTGTATTAGGCACTCAATACACAGTAGTGATATTCACCCAGATTATCCTAGTTAAAATTTCCTTACCAAGTTGTTCTCTTGGCCGCATTTTTGGAATGAGAATTTTCCAGCTCCTCGACAAATTTTATGTGATAAAAAGTACATTTAAAAATAAGAAACAGAGAGAGGGATAAAGGGAGATAACCGCGGACTAAAACTCAGAACAGTATCATTGATAACTCTCTCCTTCAATTTGCGGACCCCAGTTAACTATATTCATAATATTTGATATAAAGCAAAAATATCACAATGATAAAATTGGTCAGTAATTATTTGTAACTATTAATACTGGGACTCATTCATGCAATTACAACTAATCATAATGCTTAAAATTTTGAAATTATATTTATTTTGGCATAGGAATTTTTTGAAAGTGTTTGTAAATTTTTCTCTTATTCTCTTGCACCTCACCGACTATCTTCTTCCGCCTCACCGGGTATCCGCTTCCACCTCTCCTGCTATCCTCTTCCGCCTCTTCAGCTATCCTCTTCTGCCTCACCTGCTATCCTCTTCCGCATCTCCTGCTATCCTCTTCCGCATCTCCTGCTATCCTTTTCCGCCTCACCGGCTATCCTCTTCTGCCTCACCTGCTATCCTCTTCCGCATCTCCTGCTATCCTCTTCCACCTTTCCTGCTATCCTCTTCCGCCTCACCGGCTATCCTCTTCTGCCTCAACTGCTATCCTCTTCCACATCTCCTGCCATCCTCTTCCACCTCTCCTGCTATCCTCTTCCGCCTCTTCAGCTATCCTCTTCTGCCTCACCTGCTATCCTCTTCCGCATCTCCTGCTATCCTCTTCCACATCTCCTGCTATCCTCTTCCGCCTCACCGGCTATCCTCTTCCGCCTCACCAGCTATCCTCTTCCACATCTCCTGCTATCCTCTTCCACCTCTCCTGCTATCCTCTTCCGCCTCACTGGCTATCCCTCTTCTGCCTCTTCTATCCTCTTCCACCTCTCCTGCTATCCTCTTCCACATCACATGCTATCCTCTTCCGCCTCTCCAGCTATCCTCTTCCACCTCTCCTGCTATCCTCTTCCACATCTCATGCTATCCTCTTCCACCTCTCCTGCTATCCTCTTCCACATCACATGCTATCCTCTTCCGCCTCTCCAGCTATCCTCTTCCGCCTCTCAAGCTATCCTCTTCCATCATCACCTCTGCCTTCTCACCGGCTATCCTCTTCTGCCTCACCTGCTATCCTCTTCTGCATCTCTTGCTATCCTCTTCCGCCTCACCTCTCCCGCCTCTTCTGCTGTCCTCTTCCGTATCACCGGCTATCCTCTTTCACATCACCGGCTAACCTCTTACAACTTACCTGCTAGCCTCTTCTGCCTCACCTGCTATCCTCTTCCGCCTCACCGGCAATCCACTTCTGCATCACCTGCTAGCCTCTGCTACCTCACCAGCTCTCCTCTTCTGCCTCATCAGCTATCCTCTTCCGCCTCACCTGTTACCATTTTCCGCCTCACCAGCTATTTCCTGTTACCCTCTTCAGCCTCAAGTCTTTTCTTCCATCTGCTATCCTCTTTGTCCATCATATCCTCTTCCGCCTCACCTGCTTTCTGTTGGAAGTCTTTTCTTGATATTGTCCGTTGACATCGAGGATTGAAACGTTACAGTTATTTTTTTATTTTTTTTTTGCTTCAAGTCCCTTCTTCATCCGTGAGGAAATTATCCATCATTCACTGCGATATATGAAGACTGATATTATATAACAGTTTAGTAATATTTTCTTTGTTTTAAATATCTTCTTCATCTATGAAGATATTGTTCAGCATTCACTGCCATATAGGAGGACTGATATTACATAACAGTTCAGTACTCTTTTCTTTGTTTCTGTTGCTTCAAGCCTCTTCTCCATCTGTGAGGAGATTGTCCAGCATACACTGCCATATAGGAAGACTGATATTATATAACAGTTGAATAATCTTTTTTTTGTTTGTGTTTCTCAAATCTCTTCTTCATCTGAGATGAGATTGCCAAGTATACATTGCCATATAGGAGGACTGATATTACATAACAGTTCAGTAATGTTTTCTGTGTTTCTGTTACTTCATATCTCTTCTTCATCTGTGAGATTATCCAGAATTCACTGCCATATAGGAGGACTGATATTACGTAAAAATTCAGTAATCTTTTCTTTGTTTCTGTTGATTCAAGTCTCTTCTTCATCTGTGAGGAGATTGTTTAGCATTCACTGCCATATAGGAGGACTGATATTACGTAAAACTTCAGTAACGTTTTCTCTGTTTCTAACGAAATTTTTCCTGTTTTGTAATACTTTGCTGAGCCTTTGGAAGGCATCTTTCGCTATCCCAGTACATCTTCGTATTTTAATGTCATACTTGGCGTTCTCCATTAAAACACATCCCAGTTTTTTAAATTTTTACGCTTGTGTGATTTTGGTACCCCCAATTTTAATTTGTATGTTGAGCTGTTTCTTCTTCTAACGACCATGAATTCTGTCTTCATACAATTGGTGCTTAGTCCTTTCTTCTTGCTTTCCTTTACTAGATTCTGTAGGATTTTTTTCTGTGTCTTATATCCTTTCCGTTTTACAGAATTCAGACAGATCGTTTCCTGCCAGTACAGTTTCCGGATTATTCTAATATCCTTCCCCAAAATATCAAGGATACTTATCAGTTCCGACAGTTGTTTGTGAGTTATTTTATCAAATGCTTTTGTCTAATCATTAAAACATAGGTATACATATATTTTTTATTAAAATCCAATTATTTGATTTATTGGAAGTTTTTTTCTTCAAATTTCTGCGAATATTTGGTAAAACTCAAAAATGTTTGAATTTTTTACGTGTGTTTCAGGTCGCGTAATAATAATAATAATATGCAGATATTTCAACAGTTATGGCTTTGACTTTGATTGATATCTTAAAATATGCATGTTTCATTCTGGTGAATTAAGATGGACGACATTTAATATGCCTTTCAGCAACACACATTTGCTGGTTACTTGCTTGACCTTTAACTATTTCGAGTGGGTCACTTCGAGTTCATCTTTGTTCAGGAGTGAAATAGGGGAGATTCATGGCCGGCAGGGTTACAAAAAGTTGTTTTTTTTTTCTTCTTTTGAAGGATGAGGTAACCAAGTCACATCAAAAGAATTGAGAACATCTTCAATCGAAAATTATCTCTGTGGATTCGGTTACTCGATCTGAAGTTATTTTTAACCGTGCCCTACCTACATTGCTTCAATAAATCGTGGACATTTGGCTGTGACGAATGTGCGCAATATACACTTATTAGACTAGCTGTCACGGTGGGTATATTGGATTTCGTATAGCTGTCCAACAGCGTCATTTTGTTGGTTTGTTGCTCTCTCCACCAATAATAATAATAATAATAATAATAATAATAATAATAATAAATAAGGAGACAGGACAGGGTAGCAACACTAATAAATTGGAAACTGTGCAAATGACTTGAGTTCAAAGATGAGGCCAAATACGATCAGAACAAGCCAAAGATAACTGGGACTATAACGAAAATACTGAGAGTTAGAAAGTTAAGGAATTGTTTGAATTCTACAAGACAAGGGGTTGTTGGGGGTCTGGAAAAAGAATGAGAACCAGAAAGGTCTTGGATTTTTTTTTGGCGGGGGCGGGGGTGCTATCTTTTTGTATCCAGAGATAATCACCAGCGATGTGTAAATACATGAGTAATAACAATAATAAATATAAAGAAGAAGAAGAAGAAGAAGAAGAAGAAGGAAGGGGGAGGTGTAGAATGAAGGATTCATAAAAAGAGGAAGAAGGTGAAAAAAGAAAGGAGGAAGAGAAAAGGAATCAAGAAGAAGAAGAAGAAGAAGGGGAGGTGTAGAATGAAGGATTCATAAAGAGGAAGAAGGTGAAAAAAGGGGAGGAAGAGAACGAAGGAATCAAGAAGAAGAAGAAGAAGAAGAAGAAGGGGGAGGAATGAAGGATTCATAAAAGGAAGAAGGTGAAAAAAGAAAGGGGAGGAAGAGAACGAAGGAATCAGAAGAAGAAGAAGAAGAAGGGGAGGTGTAGAATGAAGGATTCATAAAGAGGAAGAAGAAAGGGGAGGAAGAGAACGAAGGAATCAAGAATAAGAAGAAGAAGAAGAAGAAGAAGGGGGGTGTAGAATGAAGGATTCATAAAGAGGAAGAAGGTGAAAAAAGAAAAGGGAGGAAGAGAACGAAGGAATCAAGAAGAAGAAGAAGAAGAAGAAGAAGAAGTAGAATGAAGGATCTAAAGAGGAAGAAGGTGAAAAAGAAAAGGGAGGAAGAGAACGAAGGAATCAGAAGAAGAAGAAGAAGAAGGGAGGTGTAGAATGAAGGATTCATAAAAGAGAAGAAAAAAAGAAAGGGGGGAAGAGAACGAAGGAATCAGAAGAAGAAGAAGAAGAAGAAGAAGAAGGGGAGGTGTAGAATGAAGGATTCATAAAGAGGAAGAAGGTGAAAAAAAAAAAGGGGAGGAAGAGAACGAAGGAATCAAGAAGAAGAAGAAGAAGGGGGGGGGGTGTAGAATGGAAGGATTCATAAAGAGGAAGAAGGTGAAAAAAGAAAGGGAGGGGAGGAAGAGAAGAAGAATCAAGAAGAAGAAGAAGAAGAAGAAGAAGAAGGGGGGAGGTGTAGAATGAAGGATTCATAAAAGAGGAAGAATGAAAAAAAAAGGGGAGGAAGAGAACGAAGGAATCAAGAAGAAGAAGAAGAAGAAGAAGAAGAAGAAGAAGGGAGGGTAGAATGAAGGATTCATAAAGAGGAAGAAGGTGAAAAAAGAAAGGGAGGAAGAGAACGAAGAATCAAGAAGAAGAAGAAGAAGAAGAAGAAGAAGGGGGAGAATGAAGGATTCATAAAGAGGAAGAAGTGAAAAAGAAAGGGGAGGAAGAGAACGAAGGAATCAAGAAGAAGAAGAAGAAGAAGAAGAAGAAGAAGGGGGAGGGTAGAATGAAGGATTCATAAAGAGGAAGAAGGTGAAAAAGAAAAGGAGGAAGAAGAACGAAGGAATCAAGAAGAAGAAGAAGAAGAAGAAGAAGAAGAAGAAGGGGGAGGTGTAGAATGAAGGATTCATAAAGAGGAAGAAGGTGAAAAAAGAAAGGGGAGGAAGAGAACGAAGGAATCAAGAAGAAGAAGAAGAAGAAGAAGAAGAAGAAGAAGGGGGAGGTGTAGAATGAAGGATTCATAAAGAGGAAGAAGGTGAAAAAAGAAAGGGGAGGAAGAGAACGAAGGAATCAAGAAGAAGAAGAAGAAGAAGAAGGGGAGGTAGAATGAAAGATTCATAAAGAGGAAGAAGGTGAAAAAAAAAAGGGAGGAAGAGAACGAAGAAGAAGAAGAAGAAGAAGAAGAAGAAGAAGAAGAAGAAAAAGAAGAAGGGGGAGGTGTAGAATGAAGGATTCATAAAGAGGAAGAAGGTGAAAAAAGAAAGGGGAGGAAGAGAACGAAGGAATCAAGAAGAAGAAGAAGAAGAAGAAGAAGAAGGGGGAGGTGTAGAATGAAGGATTCATAAAGAGGAAGAAGGTGAAAAAAGAAAGGGGAGGAAGAGAACGAAGGAATCAAGAAGAAGAAGAAGAAGAAGAAGAAGGGGAGGTGTAGAATGAAGGATTCATAAAGAGGAAGAAGGGAAAAAAAGAAAAAGGAGGAAGAGAACGAAGGAATCAAGAAGAAGAAGAAGAAGAAGAAGAAGAAGAAGGAGGAATGAAGGATTCATAAAGAGGAAGAAGGTGAAAAAAGAAAGGGGAGGAAGAGAACGAAGGAATCAAGAAGAAGAAGAAGAAGAAGAAGAAGGGGGGAAGAAGAAGGATTCATAAAGAGGAAGAAGGTGAAAAAAAGAAAGGGAGGAAGAGAACGAAGGAATCAAGAAGAAGAAGAAGAAGAAAAAGAAGAAGAAGGGGGAGGTGTAGAATGAAGGATCATAAAGAGGAAGAAGGTGAAAAGAAAAGGGAGGAAGAGAACGAAGGAATCAAGAAGAAGAAGAAGAAGAAGAAGAAGAAGAAGAAGGGGAGGTAGAATGAAGGATTCATAAAAAGAGGAAGAAGGTGAAAAAAGAAAGGGGAGGAAGAGAACGAAGGAATCAAGAAGAAGAAAAAAGAAGAAGAAGAAGAAGAAGGGGGAGGTGTAGAATGAAAGATTCATAAAGAGGAAGAAGAAAAAAAAAGAAAGGGGAGGAAGAGAACGAAGGAATCAAGAAGAAGAAGAAGAAGAAGAAGGGGAAGAAGAAAGATTCATAAAGAGGAAGAAGGTGAAAAAAAGAAAAGGGGAGGAAGAGAACGAAGGAATCAAGAAGAAGAAGAAGAAGAAGAAGAAGAAGAAGAAGAAAAAGAAGAAGGGGGAGGTGTAGAATGAAGGATTCATAAAGAGGAAGAAGGTGAAAAAAAGAAAGGGGAGGAAGAGAACGAAAGAATCAAGAAGAAGAAGAAGAAGAAGAAGGGGGAGGGTAGAATGAAGGATTCATAAAAGAGGAAGAAGGTGAAAAAAAGAAAGGGGAGGAAGAGAACGAAGGAATCAAGAAGAAGAAGAAGAAGAAGAAGAAGAAGTGGGAGGTGTAGAATGAAGGATTCATAAAGAGGAAGAAGGTGAAAAAAAAGAAAGGGGAGGAAGAGAACGAAGGAATCAAGAAGAAG